GTAAAAACGGACAGCTTACCGGGAGGCAACCCGAGTGTTTGAAGTTTTCTTTTTATATATTTCTTTTTGCAACATTTCTTTATTTTTGGTGTGTTTTTAAAAACTTTATGAAATTGTTTTTAAAATGGAATTGTGTTTTTCAAAGCAAGGGAGCAAGGGAGGTTACTGTTTTTATTTTTAAAATCGAAAAAATGAATTTTTGAAAAAAATTTGATCGAATTTTTCACCCAGTTCGATCGAATTTAGTCATCGAGGTTTTGGAAGTTGAAAAAATCGAAAAATAGAAATTTGAAAAAAATTAGATCGAATTTCCCAATAAATTCGACCAAATTAATGCATCGAGTTTTTTGTTCGGAAATAAAAGGGAAATTTTTTTTGATCGCTACAGTAACAAAAATTCGATCGAATTTTCAGTCGAATTTTTGGAACTGCTATAAATTCGACCATTTTCCTTCATTTTCTAACCCTCACCTCCAGAAATCTCTTCGTTAGTCTCTGAAATTCCTCTAAACTCGAAAATTCTCAAGAAATTCAACAAGATTCTCATCTTTTGTTGGATTTAAACGCGGAATGTATCAATCTTTTTCTTTTTACTTTGTCTACACTTCTAAGCCTCCAAAAACAACATTAGAAAGGTTGAAAAATTCATATTTTCGGAACTTTGTTTTTCAAAAATTTGAACATCTTCTTCAAATCTACGCTTTGTTAGGGTGGATCAGGACCCGAGCTTTTGATCGTTTGTTCTACACTACAAACAGAAGAGGGCCATCAGAGCAGAAACTGAAAAAAAATAGGGCGCGAAAAATTGACTGCTGCTCAGCGCACAGTCTGGTATATTTGTTCTGAGGCAAATTGTCAGAAAAGTCCCAATATTTCCAGAAAAGTTACACTTTATTCCTCGGATTTTTTTTTAATGAAAAAAATCCTAAAAGCATGCAAAAATTTACATTTTGACCCTTTTTGACCGGTTGGAACCGGTACCAACTTAATTTTGGACTATTTCGTAAACTAACCCAAAGTATTGAATTTTCTGTAAACAAAAATATTAGGATTTTTCTGCAAACAAAACCATTATTATTATTATTATTATTATTATTATTATTATTATTATTATTATTATTATTATTATTAAAAATATAAATAAGAATTTTTTTTGAACTTGTATTATTAATATTGTTAATAATACATATAAATGCATTTAAATGAAAAACTAATATTCATGACATTGTTTAAGGGTGGAGGTGGAGGAGATGGTGATGTTTTTAGTATTGAAATCATGAATGTCTGCTTGTAAATATTTACTTTGTATATGGTTATTTCGTTATTATTATTTTCAATTCAGAATATTAATACTTAACAATATAAAAGAAGTTGTATATTTATAAAATTGTTTATAAATAGTTTAAGGTAGAAGGATTTCTCACTTTGTATATAAAATTGTTTAAGGTAGAATGATTACTTTCAAAATCCAACAGATCCACTACAAACATCTACATAGGTAGTCCATATCAAAATTCAAAAGTATTAATTACAATATCTTGTTTAATAAAAAGTAATAGGACATGTTTTTTGGATTAATACTTTTGAATTTTGATTAATACTTTTGAATTATTCCTATTACTTTTTATTAAACAAGATATTGTGATTAATACTTTTGAATTTTGATATGGGCTACCTATGTAGATGTTTGTAGTTGATCTAATGAATTTGGAAAGTAATCCTTTTACCTTAAACAATTATATATACAAAGTGAGAAATCCTTCTACCTTAAACTATTTATAAATAATTTTACAAATATGCAACTTCTTTTAAGTTGTTAAGTGTTAATATTCTAAATTGAAAATAATAATAACAAATATGAAATTACCATATACAAAGTAAAATATACAAGCATACATTCATGATTTCAATGCTAAAAACATCACAATCTCCTCCACCTCCACCCTTAAACAATGTCATTAATAATATTTTTTCATTTAAATACATTTATATGTATTATTAACAATATGAATAACAACAAGTTCAAAAAATAATATTCTTATTTATATTTTTAATAATAATAATAATAATAATAATTATAATACTAATAATAATAATAATAATAATAATAATAATAATAATAACAATAATAATAATAATAATATTAGTAATAATAACAATAATAATAATAATAATAATAATAATAATAATAATAATAAGAGTTTTCTTTGTAGAAAAGTCCTAATATTTTTGTTTACAGAAAAGTCCCAATATTTTGGGTTAGTTTACGAAATAGTGCCAAATTAATTTGGTACCAGTTTCAACCTGTCAAAAATGGTAAAAATGCAAATTTTTGCTGGTTTTTATGACTTTTTTGTTCATAAAAAATTTTTGGGACTAAAGTGTAACTTTTCCGTAAATATTAGGACTTTTCTGACAATTTCTCTTATTATTAATATTGTTATTAATACAGATAAATGCATTTCAATGAAAAAATAATATTAACGACATTGTTTAAGGGTGGAGGTGGAGGAGATGGTGATGCTTTTAGCATTGAAATCATGAATGTATGCTTGTTTATTTTTACTTTGTATATGGTTATTTCATATTTGTTATTATAGTTTTCAATTCATAATATTAATACTTAACAACTAAAAAAAGTTGCGTATTTGTAAAATTACTTATAAATAGTTTAAGGTAGAAGGATTTCTCACATTGTATATAAAATTGTTTTAGGTAGAAGGATTATTTTACAAATCCAACAGATCCACTACAAACATCTACATAGGTAGCCCATATCAAAATTCAAAAGTATTAATTATAATATCTTGTTTAATAAAAAGTAATAGGAATAATTCAAAAGTATTAATCAAAATTCAAAAGTATTAATCCAAAAAACATGTCCTATTACTTTTTATTAAACAAGATATTGTATTTCATACTTTTGAATTTTGGCATGGGCTACCTATGTAGATGTTTGTAGTGGATCTGTTGGATTTGGAAAGCAATCCTTCTACCTTAAACAATTTTATATACAAAGTGAGAAATCCTTCTACCTTAAACTATTTATAAACAATTTACAAATATACAACTTCTTTTAAATTGTTAAGTATTAATATTCTGAATTGAAAACAATAATAACAAATGTGAAATGACCATATACAAAGTAAAAATATACAAGCATACATTCATGATTTCAATGCTAAAAGCATCACCATCTCCTCCACCGCCACCCATAAACAATGTCATTAATATTATTTTTTTCATTTAAATGCATTTATATGTATTATTAACAATATTAATAATACAAGTTCAAAAAATAGTATTCTTATTTATATTATTATTATTAATAATAATAATAATAATAATAATAATAATAATAATAATAATAATAGTAGTAATAATAAGAATAATAATAATAATAATAATAATAATAATAATAATAATAATAATAATAACAATAATAATAATAATAATAATAATAATAATAATAACTAGATGGTTATCCCCCACTACGCGGGGGCCAGAAGGTTTCATTTTTAGCATCTGTGTTATTTTTATCGCTTTTGAAATAAATAATATTTATTTGACTGCGTTTGAACATGTATGGAAGTTCTGTTGGAGCATCATGCAGCAGATTCTGTCTGGAACTGTTGATGGTGGTGTACGTCGTTTGGACATCTGCCAAGGACAGCTTCATCGTTTCGAGTTGATCGATGAGTTTCTGCATGACGGTATTCATGATGTTTGTTTGCGTTTTTGTAGACGAATTAGTTGGTTTCTAGTCTGGTTTTATAAGCGATTATACTCATGTCATTGACTATGGTCCTCATCATACTCATGACATTGACTATGATCAAACCTTTCTAACAAGTAGATATGATTAGATCAATAAGGATATTGTTTACTATAAATTCATATTCTTAATATGAGATATAGTAAATAGATTTCATAAAAGACCGATTTTCTTCATAGACATATACTAGAAGATATCTACATAGATTAGCCTGGAGGTTTCTTAATCCATGTTATCCTAACAAAATGTGTAGAGATTGAGATCCACTTTTGGATATAAAGAAAACATCTCTATGTCACAATCATCATTTTATATAAAACCACAAGGTATGTTTTTATATCAAAATGAATAGAACATATGTGTTTACTAAGAACTAGTGGGAGCATAGTGAAATTCCTAATCTTGTATGAATGAGACATACTTAATCATTTGAAATCACATTCTGACTAAGCAAGGTCGTTTTCACCTTGGTTCAGAAAGTGTTTATATTAATTTTGCTAATTTAATTCTTCTGCTGAGAAGTGGTAGATAGGGTGGCTATGAGGTTTGCTTGGTTGATTTGGTAGATAGAATCGTTGACCTTGGATTTGGTAATTAATATGACGACTACTGTTTGGTGGTTGGATGTGATCAAGTGAATCTAGTATAATTGAAGTGGTAATTTATGTAAGTTTATAAGTATTGATCGTAAATATTCTTTTCTTATACAATGTGTTTGCTGGAATATATGTATCAACATTTAATTGTGTAATGATAATGGTTGTTACCGTAATATATTATTAATTAATGGATAATTTAAACGGATTATTTATTTAAATCGGTATGTGTGTATTCATGTTTTGGGTAATGGCTACCATGCATGTTATTACGTAGGTGGTGCGTTAATTCATAGAAGGAAAGAAAGTGTTATATAGATTATATTTGTTTAGTTTTATTATTCTTTGAATATGTATGTTCGACAGGGTTTTATACATTTAAAGAATGATGGATGGATCTGCATATTATCAGTGTTTTTCTTGTGGAAACATCTATGAAATTTAGAAGAAGAGGATTGATACAAAGAGAAGTTATTTGTTATTGTTTACAGTCATAGGGGGTCATCATGATATGTTTATATTAGAAAAGATAGTGACAATGGTTCAAACAAAAGGATCATCATGATATATTTATATTACAAAAGATAGTGATATTGGTCCAAACAAAAGATGCATTTTGCGGTGCTTGTCTATGATGTCTGCTGTTTGGCTGTCCGCTTTGCATTTTTTCTTGGTGTAGATTCTGTTAGACATGAATTGAAAATTGTTAGTATTTTTTTTGGATTTTTGTTTTTGAATTTGATTTTGTTAGTGTGTGTTTACCTGTGGGATCGTAGGTGAGAGCACGTGCAACATGTTGAACAGGTGTTGATGGCTCTGGTGTTGTGTCACTTGGTCGCATTCTTGTCATTTGTGGTTGAGCTGGTGTTGCTGGCACAGATGTTGGAGCCCTGGTTGTTGGGTCTTCAATATCTATTATTATGAAGCGTATATTGTCGGGATTTGATGCTCTAAGCATTTGGATCGACATCTTTTTTGTTTGTTCTTTGTGGTTAGTGATGATAGGAGGTAGGGTGTTTCTGTTTATGTGTGGGTTGTTGGATATAAAGTTCTCAAGTGATGACTTTAACAGTTTCCGACATGATGTCTCGGATATTAGTGCTGATATCGTGTCTGTAGCATCAGTGATGGTTACTGTTAATTTGTACCTATGAATGGAAAATATTCGTAAAGACTTTTGTTAGAGAAGAATGATGCTTTATTTAACTCAAAAGATGCTTACATGTAAGTGGGCTTTTCGATTAGTCCATGTGCACTGCAGTACCAGCTTTCACCTCTTTTGAAGATGGGATCTTTGCATATTGGACATATTGCTTGGAACCAGCTGTTTTGATAGTGAAATTCTTTGATTGAAGCCTGTACAATGAATGTTTTATCCTGTAGATATAAAAGAATTGGATGTGGATGTCTGAAGCGGATGTTATTTGTAAATAGAGATATTATTAAGATGACGTTACAAGAAGATCAGATCTGTTTTTTGTCTTCATGTCAAATAGGGTTGACGGTGTTCCTGATAGTGGTGGTGCTGGTCTTGAAGGTCCTGTAAATCTGATGTCATCTTCTTATTAGTATGGGAAGTTTACCGTATGGAATATATGATTTTTTTGTAATTTATGACTCATAGATTAATGAGTGCTGTTGTTTCTGGTATGTCTGGATTCACATAGATATGCGTAGCATGTGATGAACCATAGCGTAATACTCCTATAGAAAAGTGATTTGCAGATTGAATGCATGACATAACATCATATCACAATGATAAGACTGATATATACATGGCTGTGTAGAAAAAGGTACCATTGTATATGGATGGTTTTAGGTTCGTGACCGCAACAACCGTTGTCGCAGGTGGTGGATGTAAGGAGTTGCGGTTGAATTTGTCTGGATTGGTTATACATTCTTTCCATAGATTGATTGCAAGTTCACTACCAGTAATAAAATTGAATTTTTTTTTGGTGTTAGATAGGTATGAGAAAATCGATAACTGTCATATGCTTTTTACTATGTATACCTTTCATCGGTTAGTATGAGCAACACAAATGATTCCCCGCTTGCTTTGGTACAGTCTCTGATCTTTGATAACACGCCAATGTAATCTGTTTAGTAGTAAATGTAAATGTGTAAGAAACAGCTATGTAATCAGATTTGTCAGTATTATGATTACCTGGATAATATGGTGGTCTTTCTCCAAGGTTTATGAGATGTGATTTTGATACGAACCGAAACCAGGTTTTGGGTATTGTTATTGTATCTGGAATTCGTTGTATGATGGATTTGAGGCCAACATCGATATAGAACTCATTTTCAAGGAATTTTTGATAGTTATCTAATTGAGGACAGCTATAATCTGATATGGTGTAACACTGTGAAACATGGAGGACAGACTCAATGTAGCTCTGATTTGTTCGCTGTCTAAGAATTTGTATGGCATCTGCCTGTAAAAAGAGATTGTTATACGATTTGATGAATGTAGTTTCTCAGTCATGCTGTTAATAGGTTGACATTAGATCTGTTTTTATTACAAAACAGGGATATTTATGATTTACAATTTATGGCATATTATATACGAATGTACCATTTCTTAAAGAGATGAGTTTTTTAAAATAACAAATTGGGTGTTTTTATAAACATAAAAAAATTGTTATCAATAATTTTGTTGTAAGAACTTTTATTTGTACTTTATATAAATAATTTATTTTTTTTATTAACAACATACTTTTTAATATTTGAAGAACATCAAACTATAAAATTTAGAACCTGATTTTGTTGTAATCTTTTTTGGTGACTACTTACAAACCTATCGACAGCAAGATACCAAGTCTCGTATTGCCGGACATCATGTTTCCATTTCCGTAGGATTCTAACTTGTAGCGGGCCTCCAATACCATCAGTCTTCAAGTCAGAGATGCTCGTCATGAGTTGTTTGCGTTTTCTAATGGAAAGAAATATGTGAAAATCAGTGTTATATTCAGAAAAGAATAAGAAATTCTATAGATATGTAAATTATGTGGAAGCAATGAACAGCAAAAATGATTTCAAAAAGTAGTAATGGTCTTTAGAAAAGGGTTCACGAAAGGTATGGCAGGTAGTGATACTATAGACCTCTGTTGAAGTAAGTTTCTGCAGTAAATCTTTGAAGACAACATTTTTGGTTTGATTCTCTTCCACTGTGTCATTGGTCTTTATTAGTATTTTTATGGAATCTGGTGATGTTGCTCGGGATAGTGCTACATAAAGTTGTCCGTGTGCGAAGACGGGCCGTGACAAATAGATTCCTATTCTACGCAGTGACTGTCCTTGACTCGTGTTGATAGTCATCGCGTAACAAACATTCACTGGAAACTGTTTTCATGAAAACGTGAATGGAAAATCTGATGATTTGTGTATGAAATTTATCCGTGGTATATATGTACGTTTTCCAATGCAAGTGTCGGTTATGATGGTTGCTTTGATAACGTTTGGTAACAATTGGGAGACAATGAGTCGAGTACTGTTACATAAACCTTCCATCTGATTTATGTTTCTTATCAACATTATTGGACAATGTATTTTAACTGTAAGCTCATGTGGTGGTATTCCTGGAAAGTTTAGTTGGTTTAGGTATTCAATTGGATACAAGCCTTCCATATCTGATGTGTGCTTTCTATTTGGTTCCACGATGTTTGTATTATTGTATGTCCTACCACTTGTTCTCACGATTTTTAAAATGTGGGTGTTTATTTCGTCGGCTGTCTCATTTGTAGGAGAAACTATTGCTCTTACTGAAAGGTCTGCAGAAGTGGGGTCGATAAGTATACCATCTCCATAAACAAAATCTATCAACGTCTGTAGAGAGTTTGGAGTGGCAGATATTAGGAGTGAAGATGGAATTTGTACCCAACTTGAATCACGTGGGTCATCTTTATCTGGTACACCTATGACTCCATCTCCAATAGCTAGCAACCATCTTGCAAAGGCTGATGTGGACATTGAATTTTGGGTTGTTATGTCAGACGATTGTAGTCTCATGTTTGTATGTAAAATCCGAACTATGAAATATGGCCATAGGTATGAACTCGGTAAAGTTAGTGGAATAATTTCCGAACGCGTGCTTTTTGGTACAACAGGAAGAGTCTGGCGGAAATCACCACCAAGAAGCATCGATATGCCTCCAAACGGCTATTGATCACAATCTAGCACATCTCTAAGTGAGCGGTCCAAAAATTCAAAGCACCTTCTGTCACTCATTGGTGCTTCATCCCAAATAATGAGTGTTATATGTTGCATAAGTTCACCAAGGAAGGTGCGTTTTTTAATATCACATGATTTTTCGTCTGTTAAGTCGATAGGTATCTTGAATCTTGAATGTGCAGTTGTTCCAGAAGGTAACAAAAGTGACGCAATTCCAGAAGCAGCAACAGCCAATACAATCTTTCCTATGGATCTGAAATAGGAAAGAATGGTTGTCCATAGGAATGTCTTGCGGGTACCCCCATGTCCATAAACAAACATCAGTATTTGTTTTTTGTTTTCTATGGAACTGACAACTGTGTTATAGACCGATCGTTGGTCACTGTTTAGTTTTGGCACCAGCTCATTGTGCACTTTCAGCAGCCCTTCCTTGTCATAGCTCAATTCTTCCAGTAGAAGCCGATTTCGTAAAATACCAATGACATCAGCTGAAGGAACAGGAAGGCCAAAGTCTCCCATTGGTTTGGATGGAACAGCGGAACGGAGGATGTTATCTAAATCATGAAGCAACTGTTGTTCAATTATGTCAGCAGCTGAAGCAACATTCTTATATGGTATTTGGAGTTTCAAGGTATGTAGATAGTCATCTTTCATCTTATCACATGCACTTTCCCATAGTAAACGTGGATTGTTGACCTCACAGAAAAGCAGTAGGTGGCAAAAAAGGGATCGTAGCTATGATGCGGTTACCCAGATGGAAGCTTCTGTGAAACAGGTAAGCCATTCAATATCATCCCCTATTAATCCAAGTGCATTGCAAGCAGCCCGGAAGGTTGGGTAAACGGTACCTCGTACGGTATGCAAATCTTGAAACGATGTACATCCCTTTTGGTGACAGAGTAGCATCTGTAGGTAAAATAATTCACCAGATGTAGGATGCACGAATACAAGCCGACCGACTGTTTTTGTTGACTCATAAACTCTTCGACTCCATGACTTAGATGACTTTTCCCATTTGTAAGATTTTGGATAATCTAGGTATGTCAAATCATGAACTTTTGCATCTCTTGCATTACTTTCAAACCACGCAAGTAGGGTGGTAGTACTGCCGTTCGGATTTGATAGGACTTCAGGTATTGTGTTTTCTCCATTGAACAGTAATTGATGCATGTTTTCCTCATGTACAGTTAGAATCTATACAGCTGGATGACGATGATGTATACGGAAGTCTAAAATCCGCCATGCTTCTTCGTGTGGGCATATGTAGCGCCCATTCAAAAAGTTATGTACCTCGTTTATAGTACATATATCTTCATTTTCGGATCTGTTATGGGTAGCAGTGGGTGGCACTGCAGATGGCTGATTGGTTGATTCTGCCTTTTGGAGAGTGTATCTTATGCGATCAGCTCCTTTGGAAATATATTTAAACAGGTACTTAATCATCATATTCCAGCCACAGTATTCAACATTGATGTGTGCACGGAAACGGGAACAAAGCCTTTTATTGTAGGGCACGACATATCCATTGTCTACAACATGTCCATATTAGGTAGTATGATGTACATTTGCGCTACGTTTGTACCGTACATATCCCTCTCTGTCAAAGAATGTACTGTCAACAAAGGGTCTAGGGAAATGTTTAGTACATTTACCATCTCTCATACATGGAGCCTTTTCATTAAGCGGTCCACACAGGACATGGATCATGCAGCTTGTTATCGTCTCGTACAATTCTGCCTCGTTAATTGGATCCGACAACTCTGCTGTAATATATCTGTCAATATCAATTAGATTTTTTATTCTGTCTGAACTGTTTACCCAAAGTAAAGTATGACAATGCGGAAGACCTCTCTTCTGGAATTCAATAGTGTACAAATCTGTAATTATGAAGAATTTTCAAAATATTAACATTTAATATTTTTCTATTTCTAAATAAGTGTGTAAGCATACATTGAAGTTAATATCTGAACAGATATCAAACTGAAAACATATCATATTTAATGGAATAAAGATAAAAAAACTAATAATAATAAAAAATATATATTAAAAAGTAGACATCTTTCAGATAGATATGGAATCTAATGTAGACCTGTTATAGTATGGAGAGAAGCATATGAGAGCATAAAGTAAAAGCTTTCATGACTGACAAATAACAGGAAGATTCTATCTCTACCAAATTATAACTAAAAAAACATTAAAAAATACACTTAAAAACAAACTGTAGTGAATATGTTAACAATCTGTTACCAAAATTCAAACACAAATGCTAGTACATATAGAAAGCTATATGAATCAAATAAAATATGGATATTGTGAACAGTCTCATACCATTATAACATGACATCTTAATGATTTCATGCTAAAAATAAAAGGGAGATACAAAATTAGCATATAAAAGATACCAATATATTAACGAACATTGAAAATTCAATTAAATATACTTTTGCCAAATACGGGAACGAAATATTATATATTATGGAATGTAATAGAGTGTGTTAGAAAACTAACAGATACAAAAAGTCAGAAAGAGAGTGAAAAAAAAAATGGAAAAAAAAACCAATAAAAACTGAAAATTATTATGTATGAATAAAGAAGAATATTTCGAATGTAATATAGCATGTGTAGGAAGATATGGAATGTAATGTATAACTGTTATAATATGGCAAAAAAGTTACAAATAACAGGAAGATTCTATCTCTACCAAATTATAACTAAAAAAACATTAAAAATACACTTAAAAACAAACTGTAGTGAATATGTTAACAATCTGTTACCAAAATTCAAACACAAATGCTAGTACATATAGAAAGCTATATGAATCAAATAAAATATGGATATTGTGAACAGTCTCATACCATTATAACATGACATCTTAATGATTTCATGCTAAAAATAAAAGGGAGATACAAAATTAGCATATAAAAGATACCAATATATTAACGAACATTGAAAATTCAATTAAATATACTTTTGCCAAATACGGGAACGAAATATTATATATTATGGAATGTAATAGAGTGTGTTAGAAAACTAACAAATACAAAAAGTCAGAAAGAGAGTGAAAAAAAAATGGAAAAAAAAACCAATAAAAACTGAAAATTATTATGTATGAATAAAGAAGAATATTTCGAATGTAATATAGCATGTGTAGGAAGATATGGAATGTAATGTATAGCTGTTATAATATGGCAAAAAAGTTACACTTAGAACTAAAAAAATAAAATAAACAAAAAAGAGAAAAAAAAAAAAAAAAGTTAACTGTCAATCGTATAATCTATATACTTTGAATGTAATATAGCATGTGTAGGAAGATATGGAATGTAATGTATAGCTGTTATAATATGGCAAAAAGGTTAGACTTAGAACTAAAAAAAATAAAATAAACAAAAAAGAGAAAAAAAATTAAGTGTCAATCGTTACGTATGAATAAAGAGAAGTGTTTGTAAGCATCAACTGGTTTACTGCATTAAGTAAAGTATGTGTAAAATAAAATCTTCAAGAATCAGGACGAAACCATGTACCAGCATGAACTAAAACCTTTTATTGCAGCCAAATAACAGGAGGATTCAATATCTACGAAATCATAGCAAAAAAAATATTATAAAACACACCTAAAGCAAACACTAAAAAGTATGTTAACCATTTGTTAGTGAAATTGAAAGACAAACGGTAACATATGTACAAAGGGGTACCTTTGGAAATGATCATTAATATGATTGATGTTTGCAAAGACATATAGATGGATA